AAAAAAAAAAAATCTATAAGTCAGTGCTGTTACGGATGTAGTTCAGTGGTAGAAGTCCCCTGGGTTCAAAACTTACTTCCACAAGTCCAGGCGTGGTGGCACACACCTGTAATCTAGCCCCAGCACTTGGGAGGCTGAGGCAGGAAGATCCCTGTGCATTTAATGCCAATGTATGCTACATAGCAAACTCAAGGCCAGCCTAAACTACAGAGCAAGACCCAGTCTAACACACACACACACAGAGTACCACAAAACATGCCCACATAATTGCCAAATACAAGTTCCATCACAAGTATCCCTTACACTGCCTTTGATTTCTACTCTCATCACTTCCTGACCCCTGGCAACCAATCTGTTCACTACCCACATTGCCATTTCTGTGTTAAATGGAGTAATACAGCATTTAGCCTATTTGTGTTTTGTGCTTTAAAAAAAGAGATTGTGGGCCAGCGATAGCTCAGTGGTCTAAAGCGCCTGCTTAGGCAATCTTAGGCAGGTGCAAGGTCTGCAGTTTGATCCCCAGCACCACAAGCAGCGCCAGCCCCACCCCCAGGACGGGCTGAGCCAGCTGCAAAAATAAAAAATAGAGATTGAATCTAAGGCCATCACACTGCAGCTGAGTCACCAACTTGCCCAGACTGGGCTTGAACCTGTGAGTCTCCAGCATTGGCTACCTAAATGCTAGGATTACAAGTACAGACCACAGCATTCAGCTGGCAATTTGTTACTTATTTGGGGAGGGTTTTTTGTTTTTTGGTTTTTTTTTTAAGTACAGGGGATTGAACTCAGGATGCTGTGCTTGCCAGGCAAGTGCTTATTCTACTGAGCTATCTCCCCAAGCCCTTTGGGAATTTTTAAAAGAAAAAATTAATGGAACAACAGGAGGCTAACTATGGTTAATATTGGGGCCGGGGAGATGGCTCAGTAGAATAAGCGCTTGCCTGGCAAGTGCAAGGGCCTGAGTTCAATCCCTGGTTCTGAAAAAAAAAAAAGGTTAATATGGAATATAAGCTATTTAATTGTCCAAATTATTAGCACAAATCTTTTTAAGTAAATTAGTACAATCTTAAGTACACATAAGTGCATATGTGCATACATATTTTTTTTTCTTTCTTTCCTTTTCTCCATTCTCCCACCTGTTTTTCTCTCCTTTTTATCTTTTTTTAGGAACCAGGGCTTGAACTCAGGCCCTTGTGCTTGCCAAGGAAGTGCTTATTCCACTGAGTCATCTCCCCGGCCCCTCCTTTTTATCTTTTTATTTTGGGTTTTCTGAGACAGGATCTTGCTTCACAGTTCAAGGTGGCCTTGAACTCAGTGATCTGCCTCAGCCACCCAAGTGCTAGGATTACAGGCAAGCATCTGGCAATTTAAAAGATTAAACATGCAACTACCAGTTCCCAGTAATTGAACTCTTAGCCATTACAGAAATTAAGATCTGCCTGGCTGTGGAAACACACACCAGCAACCCCAAAACTTTAGGAAACTGATGTAGGAGGGGCACAAGTTCAAGCCCAGTCCCAGCAACTTATTAGCAAAGGTATCTCAAAAGAAGAAAAGGGCTGTGGTTCTCCTGAGCTCAGTACTAAGGGCCCCAGTTCAATTCTCAATATCCCAAAGGGGAATGGGAGAAAGAACCACATTCACACAAAAACTTGTGAATTTTAACGTGTGACATATTCAGCGTCTTAGGTAGGTGTGGTGGCACACACTTGTAATCCTAGCACTCAGAGGAGGCTGAGGCAGGAGGATTATTGCAGTTCAAGGCCTGCCTGGGCTACAAAGTGAGCTCAAGGCCAGCCTGAGCAGCATAGGGAGACCCTGTCTTAAGACAAAAAACAAAAAACAAAAAAAACCACATTTAGTATGTTTCAATACCAACTTTTTTTTTTTTTAGGTAGAGTCTCACTATATAGTACAGGTAGGCCTTTAAATCCATGGCAATCCTCCTGCCTCAGCCTCCTGGAACACTGGAATAACAGATGTCACACCCACCCATCCCAACATTTCACCGTTTATAGTTCCATTTACTAAAAAAACCTGATGGGATTACAGGTTTGTGTCTCTACACCTGGAAGTTGTTACTTTTGAGATAGGGACTCACTGGACTTGTACTTGCAGTGATCTTCCTGCCTCAACCTCCCAAGTGCATCACATCCAGCACTATTTTTTAAATTAAAGGTTGAGCTGGGGTCACAACTAGATGGGAGAATGCTTGCCTAGCATGGACAAGGCCCTGGGTTTGCTCTCCAGCACGGGAGGGGGTGGGGGGAACGACAAAGACACACACCACAGACTCAGGATTTAAGATTTTTTCTTCTTAGGAGTAAAAATGTGTGCCAGAATTCCAAGAAAATATCCTTTTAAATTTTAAACATATAAATACCTCCATGAAATAAATCTCAAGAATACCATTTAAGATTCTCCGTAAAATTTATTACATTTTAAATCGCATTTATTAAGTCTTAGATATATTACACTCAAGATAACAGAGAACATTAAGGGAACTGCTCCACTGTCTTAGTGTCAGCTTCTTGGACAGCCTGCTTGCCTCCCATAGCAGAAGGCATGCTTTTGCAGCCATTTCTAGGCACCTGGCTTCCATGTGTGGCTGAAGGGACTAGGGCTGTGGTGGTGAACCTTTTAGAGCCTTCGGTGTTAACAGCCTGCTGCAGCACGCGTGCCATAGGCTCACCACCACCGCATGCTTAGCATTCACAAGGCCCTGGGCTCGATGCCCAGCACCAAAATGGGATGGCTGGGGCCAGGGGGCAGGCTGGGTAAGGCTGGAAATCGCCTCTGGCCTAGGGCCAGCTGTGACTCCATGAACACAGGCCGCCAGCTATGTTCAGGGCACAGTCTGCTGCAGGGTTCTTGACAGTCCGTTAGGAGCCTGCAGAGCACAGCTGTTCTCTTGGGAGAAGAAAATACACCCTGCCTAACGTGGGAGCTATGATTTTCTAACAGGAGGAGAACATAGCAGAGGACAAGAATCTATAGTGAGGGTGGAGTGAATACTCTGAGAATAGAGTAAGTCCTATGGACATACACCACAGTGGATAGTGAGAGTTCTCCTGAGTCCAGGCTCTTACTTTTATTTTTCAAAGTTTGATAAAAACTGACTCAATTACATTTTACACAGTAATATTTAGTGCGCTTTGTCTTAAAAGGCTGTTTAAATTCATTTGTAAAAATAAGATAGCTTTATAACTCAGCCTCTAGTGAATAAGAAAAGAATAAAATCTTGCTATAAATAATAAATAACTTTACACAAAAGTCCAGGTGACATAAGACTACTATATTAATCAATATACTTTCTTTATATTTACAATAAACCTATTTGTTAATACTGTAGTAGAAAAAATGAATCAGTCCACATTCTGTGTGTAGTAGGAGGCTTTCAGGGTGGACACAATGAGACATACAAGGATTTCTCACATAGCTAAAGGGCTTTTCAACATAATGACAACCTTGGGGTAAAAAAGAAGTGATAGAGTACTTCATGACTTTTTCCTATTTTTTTATGTTATTTTGGAGATAGGTAAATTTTACAGTTCAGCTGCCCTTGAGCTCATTATGTAGCCCAGGCCAGCCTTGAACTCATAGTGATCCTCCTGCCTCAATGTGCCAAGTGCTGGCACTGCAGGAGTGCACCACCATGCCAAGCTAAAACTGACTGACTGGCTAGGTTCCAGAATCACAGAATCAAGGATATTACCCTTAACTGAGCAGCAAACAGTGGTTTAATTTTTTTCCACTATTTAAATACAATTGTTACCATGTGAGAATTTTACTTTGTGAGTTGAAAAAAAATAGTCTACATTGCAAAACTGCACTAATCAAAAGCAGCCCCAAACAAAAGTCACCAACAGAAATAAAACATTCTTATAGGTATAGCATGCATAAAAAGGATAATTGCATAACACATTCCCTAATGACCAAATGAGGTAAATTTTAGTTAATGTAACAAATAACATATATTTAACCACCGTGTTGTGCTGCCCATTTTTGTTTGAAAATATAATTATTCTTTGTTTTTTGTTTTGTTTTTGGCGGAACCAGGGACTAAACTCAGGCCCTTGTGCTTGCCAGGCAAGCGCTTATTCTACTGAGACATCTCCCCGGCCCCACAATTATTCTAATGTCTAAAAACTTATGCTTTGTGTTTCTGCTTTTTATATTCCCTTGAGATATTAGAGACACTGTAACAAAATATTATATGAATACAAATTATCATCAGTAGTTATGTAATCTCCATTTTATATATGAACTAGGAAAAATAATAAAAACAGAAATCACAAGAACTTAAATTACAGATTAATCCATGATAAAAACTTAAAACAAAATAAAAATGAAACACAAAGATAACTTGATACCCTTCCCATATATGGTGGTCTGTGAAGATGCAACCTCTAAATAAATTACTTCAAAGATAAAGAATGAAAATGTAAATCTTGTTTAGGCTTTAGTTAACCCATCCATTTATATGCTCTGAAAGAAGGCTAACAGTAAGAACTACATCACTTTCTATTTTAGTTATTAGATATGAGAGGAAAATATTAAATTGAAAGTACCAGTTGGACAGTTTCATTCACCACTACTCAGTTTCTACGTAAGCTCCTTTGGTACAGTAATATGTCTATTGTAACTGCTGTGACAGCATTTTTCATAGTACATGAATTTCCAGCTTTACTTTCTTCTCCCCTTCGCCTCTTAATTATTTTAACTGATGAGAATTTTATTCACAAATTTTTGTTTCAATTAGTGAAGAGGTGATTTAAAAGCACAAAGAAAGGGGCCGGGGAGATGGCTCAGTGGAATAAGCGCTTCCCTGGCAAGCGCAAGGGCCTGAGTTCAATCCCCAGTTCCGAAAAAAATAAAAAATAAAAAATAAAAGCACAAAGAGGATGGGCATACAGTTCAGTGGTAGAAAACTTGCCTAGCATGCACAAGGCTCTGGGTTTGATCCCCACCACTGGAAAACAGAAACAAGAAAAGAAAAATCACAAATGGATGCATCTGCTAATCCTGAGATGATGATGATGATGATGATGATGATGATGATGATGATGATGATGATGATGATGATATGGGATATTTAAAACCTAGGTAACTTTTCACTCAAATTTTTGTTTCAGTTTTTTTTGGAAAATGGCTGGAAGGATAGAAAGAACAGCCAAAACCATCAAAATAAATACTGAGTTCCAGGAAACAGCTTCCCCTGCTGTCGTCAGCTGGTACAACGTTGTTCCTGCCTTAATTGCTACAAAAGAGGGAGGTGCAACACCTAAAATAAAACACAAAAACACAGTGAAAACCAAATTGTTATTATGAATTAGAAATTTCTATGTGCACAAAATTTCTTTTAGGAAAACACAGCTCCTGCCATTTTAGATAAAAGACCATTAACAGGGCTGGTGAGATGGCTCAGTGGTCTAAAGCACCTACTTAGAACAAGCTTAGCAAAACACAGGGACCGCGGTTCAATCCCCCAGCACCACATGCCAGCCAGTCCCGCCCCCTGGTGGGCTGAGCTGGCCACACACACACACACACACACACACATATAAATAAATAAATAAAATTTAAAAAAAAAAAAAAAAAGACCATTAACAATTTAAAGCTATTGGGCTAGGGAGATAGCTCGGTGGTCTAAGCGCCTGCCTGGCAAGCACAGGACCTGGGTTCTATCCCCAGTACCACACACCATGCTGGCCCTGAAACCGAGCATGGTGATGAATGTCTATAATCCCAGTGTTGGGGAGGCTGAGACAGGAAGATCACTACAAATCCAAGCTACATAGCAGAGACCAAGCAAGCAGGCAAGCAAGAAAGAAAGGAAGGAAGGAAGGAAAGAAAGAATATACACCGAAATGAAAATAGGAGGCTATTAAAAAAAGTACTTGAGTTCAAGGCCAGCTTGGGCCACCTAGTGAGTTCAAGGTCAGCCTAAACTACATAGCAAGGCCCTATCTAAAAAAATAAGATAAAAAAATAAAAAATAAAAATAAAAAAATAAGATACAGAACTCCTAGCTATTTTACTTATAAAATAAAGATGTAAGAAAAAAAAAAAAATACAGCAGGCCAACCAGATAGCTCAACAGACTAAAGCACTGCTCAGGGGCTTAAACCCAGGCGCTGTGCCACCCAGCCGCTGCCGGGCTCCCTGAGAGGCTTTTTGTATTGCAACAATTCCATTTAAACTAGAAAGAAAGAAATCATTTACTAAAGAACCACAAGAATTCAGCCAGATAGGCGTGCCTCAGAGGGAGAGAGGAGAATCACAAGTTTGAGCCTAAACTGGGCAATTTAGTAACTTAGTGAGAACCTGTCTCAACTTTTTTTTTTTTTTTTTTTGAGCGTTTCTGACAGTTCAAATTGGCCTCAAACCCATGGCAATCTTTCAGCCTCAGCCTCCCAACTGCCAGGATAATAGGCATGCATCAACCATATCCGCTCAAAATATTAAGGGAGAGTGGGGGTAGGTTGGAGATGGAGCTCAGTGAAAAGTTCCTGAGATCCATCACTAGTAGAGCAAAACAAAAATATCCATCACTCCACCAAAAAACATATACATACAACATACAAGATTTTATAAAATATATAAATTAATCTTTCTGTCCATTGATTAATTTCAGAATCAAGGATCTGTGCCTTGAAAGTAAGCATGTTGATTCTAGCCAGGTGTGGTTTGGAAAGCACATCTATAATTCCAGCATTCAGGAGGCTGAGGCAGGAGGATGGGCTACACAGCGAGTTCAGGACCAGTCTGAACTACCTAAGGAGACCCTGTCTCAAATCACTACACACACACACACACACACACACACACACACACACACACAAAGCTGATTCTGTTTTCCCTAATAAATGTTGATTTCCATAAAATGAAAACTGGGATCAATTCTCTGAAAATTAAAATTCAAAAGGACTAGGGAAATAGCTCAGCAGTTTAAGTGCCTGCCTGGCAGGTCTAAGGTCATGAGATCAATCCCTGGTCCCCTCTGCAAAAAAAGTTCAATATTTCATACTTAGATGACAAAGAAAAAAACTTTAAAAACAGCAACTTAGTTGTTTTTTCTCTCCACTTGAAGGCAAGTTTGGAGTTCAAAAGTTCAGAGGACTGGGGACATAGCACAGTGACAGAGCACTTGCACAGCATATGTAAGCCCACAGCTTTGATCCCTAGCACTGGGTAAAAAGTTTCATTTAATCCTGTATTATTAAAACAATATCCAATAGGGTTCCACTGTTAAGAGTTAACACCAAAACACTTAATGCAATGCACAAATATTGCGGAGTATCTATGTACACAGGTCAGGCTTTGTGCCCAAGAGTCCTATATGGCCCTGGCAGGGTACAAGAAGCATGAGACCCAGGCCAGCTAAATGCTGCTGGGTGTGTACACAATGAGCCCTAACTCAGCGTGATTCAAAGGACTTACCTAAAAAAGTGCCAATAAAAAAAACTTTCAATGGCACGTTTATCACAGGAGATGTAATATTAATAAACCAATTAGGCAGAAATGGTGTTATTCTCAAAAATATAATGTAGTTAATGAGATGTTCTCTATGACGTTCAACCTGTCATAAGGGGAAAAAAAGAATATTAGTATTAGACAAAGCCAATCCTGAAAATAAGTTGCTTAATATAAAACAACATATTTCGATTTATCACTCCTGATTTTTTTGTTTTTTTTTTTACAACAAGCATTTTTTTTCAGAACCGGGGATTGAACCCAGGCCCTTGTGCTTACCAGGTCAGTGCTTATTATACTGAACCATCATCTCCCTGGCCACTGATTTTTTTTTTGAGGCCTCAAACTCATGGTGATCCTCCTGCCTTAGCCTCCCAAGTGCTGGGATTACAGGCATGTACCATCATGTCCAACTCTGATATTTCAGAATTTATCAGTATAACTAATTTTTGCTTTTTTTTTTTTAAAATCACATTTATTTATTTATGTGGTATAGTGTCTCACTAGACAGCTCAGACTCAGTGATCCTCCCAGTGCTTGGATTAAGGTATGACCCACCATGCCTGGTTTTCAGCTTGTCAGACAGGTACTTAGACCACCAAGCTAGCTCCGCAAGCTATTTCCTAACTTTCTTTTTTTTTTTTTTTTTTTTTTTTGTGGAACCGGCGATTGAACTCAGGCCCTTCTACTGAACTATCTCCCTAGCCCTAATTTTCTAACTTATAAAATAGGATAATCTCTCAAATTCCCATGAAACCTATTTCTTTGGATTGTCCCAGCAATGCTCCTGAATTCATTCTGCATGGTGTCTCATATCTGTTGCTGCCCGGCTCCATCAGGTTCCTGGCTGCAGTACAGTCCCTCCCCTGGGAAATGCATCAGAAGAGTTGGCTAGTGCAGGTCTTCAGTACCCTGCAAGTATGCTGCATCAACAGCAACACGGGGGCTGGGGAGATAGCTCAGCAGCATAAGCACCTGCCTGGCAAGCTCAAGGCCCTGAGTTCAATCCCCAGTACAAGAAAAAAAAAGTAAAACAGCAACACAACCAATCAAGTACCTAATAATGAGGATACGTTCATAGTAACATTGGCTTTTGTATTGACTGAATTTACTAAGATAAAGAACTAAAATTATCATGGAGAGACCTGGGATGTAACTCAGTGCTAGTGTGCTTTCCATGAGTGAGGGATTTTCCCTAGCATATAAGGGAGAAAAAAAAAAGATAAAACAATCATTACAGATGCAAAAAACTGAAAATTTGTATGTAAAATTATTAATACTGCATCTAGCATGATGGGTGCACACCTATTACCCCAGCTCTTAGGATCACTAAGAGTTTGAAGCCAGCCTGTGCTACATACCAAGTCCCAAGTCAAGTGGGACATAACAAGCAACAACAGAGCCAGGCATGTTGGTGCATGCCAATAATCTCAGTACTCTGGAGGAGTAGGCTAAGGCAGGATGATCACTACAAATCTGAGGCCAGCCTGGGCTACAAAGTGAGCTCAAGGCCAGCCTGAACTGTATAGTGAGACCTGTCCCAAAAAGACCAAAAAATAAAGAGCAACAACAAAGACAAAAAAACTATAAAAATTATTAACACAATTATTTTTACATATGACAAGATGTTATTTTGGTCAAAACATAATTGCTTTTATCTGAGTTAATTTTATAAAGCTTAATTATTTGTGTTACCTTAATGTACAAATTTATGTAGACATAAATTAATATAAAATTTACTCAGGGATTATAGACCGAACTCCCAATTAGCTAACCAAAGCTTTATCACATAATTTAAAAAGGAGGAGGGGGAGATGGATCAGTGGAATAAGCGCTTCCCTGGCAAGCTCAAGGGCCTGAGTTCAATCCCCGGTTCCACCAAAAAAAAAAAAAAAAAAAAAAAAATGGGGCTGGAGAGATGGCTCAGTGGTCTAAAGCACCTACTTGGAACAAGCTTGGCAAAGCACAGGGACCGCGGTTCAATCCCCCAGCACCACATGCCAGCCAGCCCCGCCCCCTGGTGGGCTGAGCTGGCCACACACACACACAATGAATAAATAAATAAAAATTAAAAACAAAAAACAAAAAACAACAACAAAAATAAATAAAAATAAATAAATAAAAAGGAGGGGCCGGGGAGATGGCTCAGTAGAGTAAGAGCTTCCCTGGCAAGCACAAGGGCCTGAGTTCAATCCCTGGTTCAAAAAAAAAAAAAAAGTAAAAAACAAATCCTGGCCCAGTGGCACACATCTGTAATTCCAGCTACTCAGGATCCCAGGAGTTTGAGGCCAGTATGGCCAACACTGCAAGACCTTCTCAAAAAACAAAACAAACAACAATAACATGTATTTACCTGCTGTGACCATTTGACTGCTTTCTCTGTTAGGTATTTGTACACAACTGGTCGACCAACTAAATAGGACAGCATGTAGCAGAATGAGGCACCAAGTCCAGAACACTGGAAAACAACAGGAGCTGTGAGTACTTCACACTGGCCCATCCTAATCACACGAATGTATTCCCAGAGGAAAAGCTGGACTAGTTTACTTCAGGGGACAGGGAGGATACTCTGCACCTCTTGTGCACAGAACTCATTTGATGTAGTCCTTTCTTAGGCCAAACTGTAATTCAAATGATACCAATTAAACAAACTGGCATTTGCAATTAAACTTAAGAGACTATATCCAAATAGTTACTGCTAGACTTTAATGTAAGAATATAACTTTAAGAACCAAGTTTTTGGGGTGGGGAGATAGCTCAGTAGAATAAGTGCTTGCCTGGCAAGCACAAGGGCCTGAATTCAATCCCCAGTATGGCAAAAAAACAAAAAACCCAAGTTTTTCAATGCTCTGCCTAAAAACACTACCCCAGCACTGGGACTTAAATCATGTATGCACCAAAACTCTTATTAGACTGTCCAGGTTATAAAACACAGGAGTCAGGCATTGTGGTACACATCTGCAATCTCAGCATCTGGGATGCTGAGGACTGCCACAGGGTCAACACAGTCTGGGCTACACAATGAGTTCAAAGCCAGTCTGAACTACATAAACAAAGCCGATCTTGGGGGGGGGGGGAGGCAACAAAGGCTAAAAGAGCTTATAAATACACTTACATTTGTGTAATACCATTTTGGGGAGAAAAATAAACACCTCCTCATTGAACATCAACTGCTCTTAAACAAACTTACTAGACTGATGGGACTAGGATGACAGTATTGTTCTCCTTATCTTAGAGATATTTTTTCCATTCTCCCAATTAATTATATATACTTACCAAACAAACAAGAAACAAGGCTAGTGGAAAGGGATACAGGAACCCTGAGAGAATGCTGAGAAATATAGAGCCTGGAATAGCAAATGTTTGCAAGCTGTTAACTTCTAAATTAAGGATTAGAACACAATCAAATGGAATTTTTAAAAGACAAACCCAACATTTCATAACAAATGTAAGCACAGAAATCACGCTAATGAGAGCATGTCCATATTTTAATACTTGCTGAGTATCTCCTATGTAAAACGCTAGGGACTAGAAGTACATTGGACTGTGAACTTCACGGGTTCTGGAACACAGGCAGCATGCACACAATGTCTTTGAGATGGGAAGAAGTCTAAAGTCAACAGTTATTTAGATTTCATATCTTTTACACATAATCTTCAGTTAATTTTATACACTATTTTTACTTGACTTGGATTTTGGAGCATTTTGGGTTTTTTACTTTTTAAATTAAGAATGTTCAACTCTTTAAAAGATAAAATTATATCCAAATGTAATTTAAAAATATGATCCTTCAGCTGCAATGCCTTCAACCCTAAGTTGATCATTTACTGAATACAAAAATACAATATATTGCAAATAACTATAATGCTAATAAAATTCTGCTACTAAAAGAAAGATCAAGACAAATAAATATCCAACACATCCCAGAAAGAAAGGAATTGTGCAATGTGACAAAAATAAATCTTCAACCATCTTTTAAATAACATACTAGGGGCCAAGGAGATGGCTCAGTGGAATAAGCACTTCCCTGGCAAGCACAAGGGCCTGAGTTCAATCCCCGGTTCCGCAAAAAAAAATTCTCTAATGCATTTGATGTACTCCCAATTATTCTTAGAAACCATGATTTTGGTAGAAATCTTGGTATATATAAGGTATAATTATTTTACATTTAACTATAAAATTTACAGCAATTAAAAGCATTTAAAAAAGGATCAAGGGCCAGGGAGATAGCTCAATAGAATAAGTGCTTGCCTCACAAGTGCAAGGTCCTAAATTCAATCCCTGGTACCACAAGAAAATAAAAAAGGATCAAGAGTGCCAAACGTGGTGGTACACACCTGTAATTATAGCACTTAGGAAACTGTGGCAGGAGTCTGTCTCAAAAAAACAAAACACAGCTAGAGTGGTGGGCATGTCTGTACTCCCAGCTTTCAGGAGGCTGAGGAACGAGGATCGCTGGAGACAGAGGGTAGTCTGGACTAAACACTGAGTTTAAGACCACCCTGAACTACATAGTAAAATACCATCTTCAAAAAGACAAACTATAGGGGCTGGGGAGATGGCTCAGTAGAATAAGCGCTTGCCTGGAAAGTGCAAGGACCTGAGCTCAATCCCTGGTTCCAAAAAAAAGACAAAATATAAATAAGTACAAATGAACAACAAAAAGAATTTCTCTACTTTTGTATATGTTTCAAATATTAAAATACAGGTGTTACAACTTTGGTCTAGATGTCCCCACAAAGCCTTATAGTTGGGCTTTGGGGTGGTAAGTCGACCACGAGTTGTGATGCTGGATTAGTCCATGGATAGATGTACAGCTGGGTGTGCTGCTGAAAGGTACAGCCTACTGAAAGAGATGGATCACTGCAGCTTGGCCTGCCACAGTATATGTCCCTCCACCTTCTCTGCTTCCTACCCTCTGTGATGCTGCTCTGTGGACTATGGACTGAAACCTCTACAAATTAACTCAAAATAAACCTCTCCAGGTCAGGAGTGGTGGCACACGCACGTAATCCCAGCACTTGGAAGGCTGAGACCAGTCTAGACTACAGTGAATTAAAGGCCAGACTGAACTGCATAGTGAAACCCTATCTCAAAAAGACAAAAGGAAGGGTGGGCAAAATAGCTCAGTGGATTAAGCAGAGGCAGGGGCAGGGGCCTCCTGTGCTAGCCCCAGCCCTGGGGCACACTGAGACAGCAATGGGGACTGAAGCATGGTGGCACATGCCTGTAATCCCAGCTCTTGGGAGACTGTAAGCAGGCGGATCACTTCGAGTCCAATGTAGTAGTGAGACCCTGAACACCTGTAGACCCTTCCCTAAAATACAGAAGAAGAAAAAAAAAAAAAAAAAAAGACAAAAGGGGGAAAAAAAATCTTCAATGACTGTTTGGTACCAAATAAATACTCTACACTCCTCAGCCTGTTAGCCCAAGCCCTGTGCTGTGGGAGCACAGCTGCCAGACCCCTAGCCTTGCTTCTCAGCCCCCCCCCCCTTTTCTCTCTGCTGAGCTGAACAGGCCTGCAGATCACTTCCTAGCAACGCAGGCCCCTGCTGGGAGCTCCACTGGGAGCTCTGCTCCAGATGGGCTTTGTCTAGGCTGAGCCTAGACAATGAACTCTATCTAGGCTTTCTCATTACTCCAGCTGAAAACAGTTGTTTTGGATACTCAAAGCATGAGATTACTTCAAGAAACTGGTTAAATACATGAAAGCTAGAGTTTTAAAATGGAATATAACATAAAAAAGAATTCAAAAGAATTTGAAATTAAATCCTACTGAAGATGTGCAAGTACATGCACTGTTGGATTCAGTGCACATGTCTGCCGAGTGGCCCGGGCTGGCCTTAACACTCACAGTGCAGGAGCAGCAGCTTTCCAAGCGCTGGGCTCACAGCTATGTGCCGCCACAGCCAGTTTCTGATCGCATTCTGAAATGACAACATGCTTGGTATACTACCCCAAGGTTGTGTTAGTTAACTTGGTTATAGGTGCTCCTGTTTACTTCTAATGTGCCCGCATTAAACTTCAAAGCCGTATGGGGCTCACCTTCCATCAAGTAGCTCTTCATGAAATTAAAACACTGTTATGTGCCCTGCCACAAAGTACTTTCCTTTGCTCACCAAGTTTAAAAATTATAATTTAAATTCAAAAGTGTAGGTAGAACATTGTAAGAAAATTGAGGGCCAGTCAGATAACTCAGAGCACTAAAGCACCTGCTCAGGCAGAGCACAGCAGCCAGGGTCTGATCCCTGGCGTGCCATGCCAACCGGCGCTGAGACCGCAATTGAGATTGGGCATAATGGAGTGCGCCTGTAATCCCAGCGCTTGGGAGGCTGAAAACAGGAGGATCACTACGAGTCTAATCTACACAATGAGACCCTGTAGATCATGTCCTAAATACAAAAATAAATAAAATAGACTGCTGTAAGAAAATTTAAACATTATCATAAAAATGTCACATATAAAATCATATTCATCAAATAGTAACAATATATAATCTAAATTGACAGCATTAACCAACATTTACTTAAAATTTTAAATAAAATAGATTTGGAAATAATAAACACATTCCTAATATTTGTAATTAACATTCTGCTATTTGAGACAGAGTTCTCACTATATACTACATACTGGCTTTGAACTCAGGGCAATCCTGTTGCCTCAGTCTCCCAAGTGCTGGGATCATAAGCATGCACCATCACACCCAGCCTAAAAGCTGATTTTAAAAGAATATCGATTATTTTCACAATATCAGCAATTAATGTCTTTTAAACAAAATTTTGAAAATATGTTACATAAGAAAAGATACTAAACAAATAGAATAAAAGATACAAAAATCCATAAAGAAAACTGAAGTATACAAACTAGAAGTTAGTCATCAATAACATAAGCAATGTGAAAATAATATAGAAAGAAAAAAGCTGAATTAGATGTGGTGACACTCTGGGAGGTTAAGGTAGGGGGATCAAAAGTTCCAGCTTAGCCCAAGCAACTTAATAAGACCTGTCACAAAATTAAAATTAAAAAAAAAAAAAGAAGAAAAACTTAAGATGTAGCTCAGTGTGAAGACCCTGTGTTCAATCCCCAGTCCTAGTGGTGTGTATAAGGGGATGTACTTCTGCTTGGTAAAATATATTTCTTAAAAAAAAAAAGAGCTGGGGTCTTGCCTCTTGCTTTTGTGTCTTCTGTCTCCCGTAAACGATTTCTCCTCTGCCATGCACTCTGCCTTGGAGCCAGCCAACAACAGAATGAGACCTCCACAAACTGTAAGCTAGGTAAATTTCCTCTCTTAAAAAAAGAAAAAAGAGCTGGGCATAGCATAGCAGCACATGCCTGCAATCCCAGCATTCAGGAGGTTGGGAAAGGAAGATCTCTGCGCCCAGCCTGGGCTACAAAGCAAGCTCAAGGCCAGCCTGAACTGCAAAGCAAGACCCCATCTCAAAAAGACCAAAAATTAAAAGAAAAAAGAAATACATTATCAAGAACTTGAAGGGGCTGGTGAGAGATAGCTCAGCAGACTAAAGCACCTTCTTAGGCAAGCTCGGGGATACAGTTTGATCCCAGCACCATAGGCTATGCCAAAACCCGCCCTCCCACGGGCTGAGGCGGCCTCAGAGACCAAGTGTGGTGGCTCACGCCTGCAATCCCAGACAGCACCTGTGATCCCAGTGCTGGGGAGGATAAGCCAGAAGGATTGCTACAAGTTCAAGGCCAGCCTGAACTGCACGGTGAAACCCTATCTTAAAAAGAAAAAAACTATTGGAGGAGATTCATAAGACAACATCTATAATAGCAAAAAAAATTTTTACACTTCTAAAACTAAGGAAATACTTGTAAAAACAGATAACAAGTAATTCAAATTAATAATGTAAGTAGCAATTTTTAAAAAATAGAAAAACATCCTAAACTATAGAGGAAAACATCTGATAAATGAAATAAGCACAATACAAATCAAAAACCCTGGTAAGATATTCAGAAATAAAAATAAGCTGAAGAGGGCGGGGATATAGCTCAGCACCTGCTTGGCAAGCACAAGGTCCAGAGTTTGAGCCCCAGTACTACATGCTGGCTGGGTGAAACAAGGTGTGGTGGTATGCCAATAATCCCAGCACTGGGGAGGCTCAAAAAGGAGGATCACTACAAGTCCAAGCTATGCAGCAAGAGCCCGTACCAAATATATAAATTTTAAAAAATAAAAATAAGCTGAGGAGATAGGATTAAATGAGAATTTGTGCCATTTAATTTTTCATTATTTCATTTAATATTGTAACACTATAAGTTTTAAAACAAAAAAGTGATACATAACTAAGCAACAGATCCCTTAAACCATTGTTTCTTGTACAAAACTAGAAAACATTTTTCAATTAAAAGGATACAAAATATATGTAGCAAAATAAGCTACAAGTACTTGTACATAAAAGGTGTCCTTATATTTGGATAAAACTTTGCCTAGAGCCTTGGCATCATCCATATCTCTGGGAACCTTCATATTCAGTCTTTCTTCTCTAAAGAAATAAAAGTGAAAAAATTTAAGCAGAATTTTGCCATGATAAAAGAAAAGTCAAGTTCAAAACATGAAATTTTATCCAAAATGATGAGGCCTTGAGCAATATAAGGCCAAATTAAAAATGTTTACATTTAACAGTTTGTTTTTTTTTTTTTTTTTTTAAGCAGGACAGTTTCAATCATTAACACATTGCATACGTTCTTCCTAGTGGCTAATTGCTGTACAAGATGTGGACTTGATATCCTATTTACAAACACTATTAGAACAAATCCCTCTATTCATTAAGAGAATGTAACTATATATCTATCCTAACCATTTTGAACACACAGATACAAAATGGACAATCATCTGTATCCCCTTTTTTTATTTAGTTCCATTATTTGAATATTATAGGTGTGTTAACTCAGAAAAATATTCTAAAACAGTCCAGTAGTCCACAATAGTATTGGGTCTTCCGCTTCACTGGCAATGTCAGAAATTGTTGAGTCCCCTACAGCTCAACATAACACCATGGCTTTACTTCTTATACTTCGGTTTTATATTTTTCTGCTGGATGGTTAAGACCAAGATAAAGCAAGACCTATGCAACAAGAGTTGTTGCTTTTGGGTCTGATAACATGACAGTGACAAGCCATACAGTTATATGTAGAAGATGAGCAAGGCAATGATCCTGAGAATCTCCAGAAGATTTTTGAATCTAGCAGTTAATTGGAAAGATTCTCACCATGACTGACTATATATACTGACACCTGTGAACTAAGCAACTGCACTGAAGATGTCAATTTGTAATAGTAGGTTCATACTTGGAGGGCCTGTCATTCTGGTCTTCTGAATATGGGCTGCTTGTCATGACATGCCAGTTGCTGCTGTGCTGTCTCTCAGGTAGATGACTGTTCAAAAAGGGGCTGGTGAATGAAGGCAGGAGACAGGAAAAGGAATGTTGTGGGACTGTCCTGCTTCAAGGTTGTATATGGTTAGATTTTTGGATTTACGTGTAAACATAAGAATTTTATAATTCCTTATGCCTATTTTTTTAAATATATTCTAATTTTTAAATGTTTTTTCATCATACTGTGTAGGGACTTAAAGTTCAACATATCAATACTTGATGAAAAATACCTGTTCCATGTTATGTCTAAGATGTTTGATATTCAGACAGTGAGGTTAAGCTTAACAGCCTAGGCTGTATGGTAATAACCATAAACTTCTCTTCTGGAGGGTTAAAAACCTAAGTTTGCACACCAAAATTAGAGAAAAAGGAGGGCTGCAAGGAAAGCCAACATTTTAGCCCTAGCCTACCAAGGCCAATTAAGACTCAGGACATATGAGAATTTGTACTGTAATGTCACGTAACTCGGTAGTGTCCCAAATTTTCTGATCAAGATTATGGGGACAAAGAGGAAAGTGATCAATGATGTAGTGTGCCTAAGGAGAGTCACATGGAGAGAAAACATTCTCTCAGGCTTTCACAGAGAGCACATTGGCCAAGCAATGACCATGACTCATCCACATGGCTGACACTGACAAAGGATCTACAATCTGAGGTACAGGATCTCAGGATAAATCCTGAGGGGATTTCACTGACCTTATCAGACATTCAATAGTTGTAAAGTGTTTGTGAAAGCTTTAACTTCTCACTATATAATCTCTGATGAAAAGTTCAGAATGACCCAAACTAAAGGTTAAAAGCATTTACTTCTATACTGGCTTGAACTTTTAACTAAATATTAAGAAATATATAACAAGACCTTGCCTCAAAAAGAAAAATATTAATGAGCCACTGGTGTTTATGTATTAAAAACATACTTGACATCATTTAGGGTAATCCTCCTGATAAGCAAATGTTAATATATAATCATTTATAATGAAAATTAATTAAAATTTTAATGAATTCACAATTGACACCTTTTCTGGAATATTCCACCCAAAAGTTCAAAAAAAAGTTAAAATACTTTTCCTTTTCTATTCATTTTACTTTAAACTGGGTGTCTTGTTTGGAACAGAATGATTTCTTACTTATTAAAGTTTCAAGCAATCATCTTTGTATTTAAGGTATATTATGATCATTTGTTTTCATATTTTCACTCTGCAGAACAATGACACAATGCACCTTTCTTATATTCATTTTTCTATCGCAACAGGTCTCACAATGTTGACAGGCTGAACTTGAATTTCTGAGCTATGTAATTCTATCTCAGATCCTCCTATCTGAGTAGTTGTGACTAAGGTGTGTACCACAAACCAGGTGAATGCTGCTTTTTATAGTCCTATAAAAATACCAGGTAGGGCTGGTGAGATGGCTCAGTGGTCTAAAGCACCTACTTAGAACAAGCTAAGCAAATCAGAGGTACCACGGTTCAATCCCCCAGCACCACATGCCAGCCAGCCCCGCCCCCTGGTGGGCTGAGCTGGCCACACACACACAAATAAATAAA